CTGCATCTCCCAAGGGCTCCCGGGCTTCCAGAGTGATGTCTGACTGCCAGCTTACACTGCCAGTGATGTCTGAAGCCAGCAGGTGGACATCCCCCAAGGGGTCCCAGACTGCGAGATGGCACAGGCCAGGCTGAGGGACCCCCCCACCCCAGTGCACAAATTTTTGTGCACCGGGCCTCTAGATATTAAATAAATGGTTTAAATTTTTCTCACTTTTAACACATTGTTTGCAGGTAGTTTTTATTGTGCGCTAACAGGTGGCGCGGGCCATTTTTGCTAATTTTTTGCGCAAATGGGAACGTTCAGTAAAATTACGATAACTTTAGTTTACGTATTTATGCATTACCCACATTCTACCGCTAGTCTATAAAAAACGTATTAATATATGTCCCGCGCTCTACTACCAGTCAACGTAAAATGTATAAGTAAAACGTATAAATACGTTTCCCTCATACAATGTGTTAATATGGTGTCAGCAGATATAATTTACATAGGCAAAAGCTCTAATTTTAAGAGTGTAAAGGAATGTTGAGACCAAAAACCACTGCTGTATACCACACTACCTGTCATTATTTCTGACAGAGGGCAGCTGTGAGACTTGGCTATCCATGGGAAGCAGCTGTAGGTATCTATCAGTTAAGAGAAGTTATTGTGGGTTGAGATAGTTAATGCTAAGTCAGCAATTCCTAATGCCAGTTATGTACTGATCTTAGTACCTGACATACATAGCTTTTATTGGTAGGCAGCAAAATGAGAAAAGTAAAATGTTTTTCATAAAGCTAGATATAAATATAGTCAGTATGAAGAACTGCTTTTTAATTGTGTCCGTGTCTTTTATACTTCTTTGATGTAAGCATGGCCTTTATGAAAAGATGGGAGAACAGGTGTTAGTTGTAAATTTATTCTTGTTTTAATGTCCTTTTGTGTTCCTAGTTAGAAGTCCTGTGCCAGTCCTACAAATTGTTTTGTAAGACATTGTTCCAGGGAAGGAATTAGAATCTAACATTTTGAAGGTAGGGAGAAAAGGTGAGTACATTCTAGGTCCAGATATGAGAGCCAAGTCAAGGTCCGGGAGGTCAGCAAAGGTTGGTTTAGGAGGCAAGTAAACACCAATGCTAGGTAGGAGCAAATGCATCACCAAGAGAGTTGGTATCTTTGGTCTTGTGACAATGATTCTCAATCCAGTCGCACACAAAGATTGTTTAGATCACTTTTAAGAAAACACCAATAACCAGACCCCATCCTCAGAGATTATGATTTAATGAGCCTGCAGTGGGACCTGGGCATAGTATCTTTTTGAAAATCTCATCAGGTGGAACTATGATTGAGAACCACTGTCCTGGGGCCGTTGTTTGATCTGATAACCTGTGCTTTATGTTCATAATGTGTGGGGCACACAAAAGCTGACAGAGCCCCATTGGTGCCAGGACAAGGACCAGTCTTCCTAGGAAGATTGCTATTTTCCTAAACCATAGTCATATCAATATAGTTATTTAATGAAACTTACAACAAAAGTAAGTAAACACTTCTTTGCAAATATGACTCTCTCTCGTCAAACTGTGCCATCTGTTGACCTTGAGACTTGACACAAATTTTTACTTGTAAGAGCCAAAATTATATTTTTTCCTTTCTGATCTCTTCTTATTTATAAAGATTTCAGGGGATAAGCCTCCCTTTTTAGTTACCCACAGAAGTAATCGAGTATAAACTCATAATTGGCAAAAAGATTTCACCTCATTTTCTTTTCTGTAGGAATCTCTGAAATTCTTCCTTGTACTCTGGGTTCTGGAAATCTAGTTTTGTGACTGACCTATGTGTCCAGTACAACAAGTAGCTTGTTTCCTTTTTGAAAAGTATTGAGTCAAAAGTAACAGCATTAAAAACATAAATTTAGGTAGCAAATAGTAAGTTGTTAGTGTATTTTAAAACAGAAAATTGGCTATATAAAACTTACAAGTACAGTAAGTTACATTTTAAATAATTCTTTTTTAATTTTAGGAAAGCAGAACTAGAAGAGACTGTGAGAAAGAAGATTGAGTTTGAGAGAAAAGCTCTACATATTGTTGAACAACTTTTAGAAGAGAATATTACAGAGGAATTCTTAATGGAGTGTGTATGTATTCACAAATTATTATTTTTGTAGTAGAAAATCTTTAAATATTTGCAACATGAAACTTGCATTATTGAAATCTTTGAATCTGTTCTTAGTCACCACATGCAGGTAACATGCTATATAATTTGTGCATTAAAAAATAATCACATGTATTTCTTTTATAATGACTTTAAATGCACTAATGAAAAATAACATAAATATTTCACCCCTTAGTAGTAATTGTTTTAACCACTCTGCTATTCTCATTTTATTTTCATCATTTGCACTAATGATTCCAATGTCATTTTCCATGTTCTGTATGTTGTCCTATTTTAGTAACAGAAGATCATATTTGTTAATGTAATTCCATTAATTTGGATATTTTAAAACCTCAAATATAGATCCTTTATGATTTAACACTTAACAAGAAAATTATAATCTGCATTTTTGCTTTGCTTGTTTTCTTTAATGGCTCTATTATATGAAATTTTTGAATGGAAATTTATATTATGTCCTCATAATCCTTAAGAGAAAAAAGAAATGGAAAATTAAAACTCAGAGCTTCTATTGCAGAAGTAATTTTTAGATTTTTCTAAAGAGGAATATAAATGTGATAAATTTAAATTGATATAAGTAACTGCATAAAAATCTGTGTACCATGATGACTCTAAACCAGAAATGCTTCATTTGAAATAAGTACCTTATAGTACTCTCAATAAAAAACTGTTCAGTCCCTGCTAATACAGAAAAACTTCTTCAAAAATAATCTCAAGAAGTGAGATTAGCCAGCACCGGTTTGGCTCAGTGGATAGAGCGTCAGCCTGCGGACTGAAAGGTCCAGGGTTCGATTCCGGTCAAGGGCATATACCTTGGTTGGGGGCACATCCCCAGGGGCACATCCCCAGTGAGACATGTGCAGCGGGCAGTTGGTCAATGTTTCTCTCTCATCGATGTTTCTAACTCTCTATCCCTTTCCCTTCCTCTCTGTAAAAAATCAATAAAATATATTAAAAAAAAAAAAGAAGTGAGATTATTTGAAGAGGAAGATACCAATGGAAAAAAATTTGGTATTAGCTTATAACTATCACTTCAGCATTCTCTGGTACAGTTTTTCAGAAGCTGGAAGATTTTGCACAAAAATTTGGTCAGGAGTCACTTTGACCTTTGTTATACTTTATTTTTTTAGGTTGTGCTTTAAAAATAGGTAAAATTATATCTTGTTATTTTATTTGCTTTATTTTTTTAATAATAATAATTTTTTAAAATAAAATGTACTATCAGTATTTTGCTTTGGTATAACACTCACTATAACACCAGCTCTTCCTCCTGCCTCAGAATTATTTCATGAACTATATGATCTACAAAGATGCAGAGTCTACTGTGGCAGAACTTTTTTTACTTTTTAAGTACTTACTACATGTTGAGCACTCTTCTGAGTTCTTTTTCTGTATTTTTTCCTCTGATTCTAACATCAAACCTATGAGATAGGTAGTGTTATTATCTTAGTATTTTCTGATGACATTTATGGGTCTTAGAGAGCTGATAGGAACTTTTTCCAATAATCTGGGATTGGGGGATGCCCCTTTTATTTCATTACAGGGGAAGTGTATCACACCTGCTCACTACAGCGATGTCGTGGATGAACGTTCTATTATCAAGCTCTGTGGTTATCCCTTATGTCACAAGAAGCTAGGAATAGTAAGTAATTTTAAAATCTATAGACTTTCAATTTTTATATTTAATGAAGTTCTTTGTAGAAAAAACAAGAAACTGAGGTTATAAACTAATGACATGACATATAGATAATTTGTAACGTAAGTTCAAGTTTATTACTCGAATTCTTTTGTAAGCCATACTTTTTTTTCTTTAGGTACCAAAACAGAAATATAAGATTTCTACCAAAACCAATAAAGTCTATGATATTACTGAAAGAAAGGTAAGTTTAAAGTTTATTTTCAATTTAGCACTTAATTTTTAATCTTATACTAAATGAAATTCTAAAAACAACTGTTTAGCCCTAGCTGATTTGGCTCAGTGGATAGTGTGTCAGCCTGCTGACTGACTGAAGGGTCCTGGGTTTGATTCTCATCAAGGGCATATACCTTGGTGGCAAGCTCAATCAGCCAATCGATATGTCTTTTTCACATCCATGTTTCTCTCTGTCTCCCCCCCCCTTCTGCTCTCTCTAAAAATATCAATGGAAAAATATCCTCAGATGAGTATTAACAAAAAAACAAAACAACAACAAAACACACACACACACACACACACACTGTTTAAAAATTTTGCCTTTTAGAAAATAGTCACATTAAAAGTTTTTCATTTATAGATATTTCATTTAAGGTGTTACAAAAAACTCTTTGCTTTAATTAATCTTTAAACATTTAAAAGTTAAAAGTGGAATAAATTCAGGCAAGTAAATCATGGAACAGAATAGAGAAGAAGAAACAGACTCACCACATATGTGGACACGTGATATATGACTACAGCAATATTAAAGATTGGTGAAGAAAGAATGGATTACTCTATAAATAGCACTGGCATAATTAGTTACCCATATGTAAGAAATAAAAATTGACCTTTATCTCAATGTACGTACAAAGATCAATGTTAGGTTAATTAAGGACCTAAGTGTAAAAGACAAACCTTTGGAAAGACATATGGGAAAATCCTACATAATAAAAGGCTAAAATGCAAATCGGCCGAATGGCCAAACGACCAGTCACTATGAGCTGTCCCTTAGTGGTCGTTACGCTCCCACAGGGGGAGCACTGCTCAGCCAGAAGCTGGGCTCATGGCTGGCCTAAGCTGGCAGTTGGACATCCCCTGAGGGCTCCCAGACCACAAGAGGGCGCAGGCCAGGCTGAGGGAACCCCCTAAGGGCACACATTTTGTGCACCGGGCCTCTAGTGTGTGTGTGTGTGTGTATGTATATGTATGTGTATATATATACATAAACTTGCACTAGAGAGAATTTTTTAAGTAAGATAAAAATTATAGACTATGCCCTGGCTGGTGTGGTTCAGTTGGTTGGAGCTTCATCCCGTACACCAAAAGATCATGGGATCAATTCCAGGTCAAGGCACATACCCAGGTTGTGGGTTTAATCCCCAGTCAGGTGCCTGTGGGAGGCAGCCGATCGATGTTTCATTCTCACATTGATGTTTCTCTCTCAAATCAATAGAAGCATGTCCTCAAGTGAGGATTAAAAGTAAATAAGTTGTAGACTATAGAGGAAAAAGTGATAAATTTTTCTACATTGAAATTTAAAATGTTTGCTTCTTAGAAGTTTCCAAAAAAGAGTGAAAAGATAAGCTCCAAATCAGGAGTTATATTTCTGCCATATCTGATCACAGATTCATAACCAAAAAATATAATCTATAAGAAAAAGACAAACTACCTGATAGAAAAATTTTCTGAAGGAAACTTGAATGGTTAATGAATGTATGAAAAGGTGCTCAGTCTTATCAGTAACCAGGAAAATAGCAAATGAAAACACATTGAGTTACGTATTCACAGCCTCAAAAGTGACAAAATTATAAAAATCTGACAATATTAATAGCTCTGTATTCTGCTGATAAAATAAAAATTGGTACAACCTCTGAGAAACTGTTTGGCATTATCTAGTAAAGTCAAATTTTCATGCTCTTTATGGCCAAGCCTTTCTATTCTTTGGTATATATCCAAAGGAAATTCTTCCTCAAGTATATAGGGTGTCCCCCCAAAAATATATATATACTTTGAATAATTATAAAAGCAGTGTTTATTAAAATACACTTCATTTTCAAAATTGAGCTATTAGTTGATAAAGTGTGTATACATATTTTGGGACACTCTATGTGTATGTGAATGTTTCTACATGGATAAACAAAATATTACGTATGCATAAAATGGAATATTATTCCCCTTAAAAAGTTAAAAAGGAAGGAAATTCTGACACATGCTACATCATGGATGAAATTTAAAGACATGCTAATTGAAGCAGGCCAGCACAAAAGGACAAATACCTGATTTCACTTATATGAGGTAACTAGAGTAATCACATTCATAGAGGGAGAGTAGAATGGTGGTTGTCAGAGGAGGCAGAAATGGGGAGTTGTTTAATGGTTGTAGAGTTTCAGTTTTGCAAGATGAAGAGAGTTCTGGTGATGGACGGTGGCAATGATTGCACAACAGTGAGAAAGTTACTTAATGTCACTGAACTACACACTTAAAAAAAATGATTAAGATGGTAAATTTGGCATATTTTACTACATTTTTTAATTGTAAAATTTGAAAAAAAAAGTTCATAGTAATACTGTAGTGATAGCAAAAACATTAGAAACAACTCAATTGTCCATAAATAATAAAAGGTAGAGTACTTACATAGTGCAACTGAATAAGCTACAATTTCATGAAAGAATCTCAAAAAACATAATGTGGAATACAAAATGGAAAGAATATGTCCAACCAGTGTGGCTCAGTGGTTGAACGTTGACCCATGAACCAGGTGGTCACAGTTTGGTTCTTGGTCAGGGCACATGCCCGGGTTGCAGGCTTGATCCCTAGTAGGGGTGTGCAGGAGGCAGCTAATCAATGTTTCTCTCTCATTATTGATGTTTCTATCTCTTCCTCTCTCTGAAATCAATAAGAACACATTAAAAAAAAATGACAAGAATATATAACAATATGATTCCATTTAGGCAAAATTTAAAAGTAGGCAAAACTGACAGATTTTATAAGAATATATATATACTAGAGGCCCTATGCACAAAATTCATGCACTCAGGGCGGGGGGTCCTTCAGCCTGGCCTGCACCCTCCCGCAGTCCAGGAGCCTTCAGGGGAGTGGGCCTAATCCGGCAGTCAGACATCCTTAGTGCTGCTGCAGTGGCAAGAGAGGCTCCCGCCACCGCCGCTGCACTCGCCAACCATGAGCTTGGCTTCTGGCTAAGTGGTGCTCCCCCTGCAGGAGTGCACTGACCACCAAGGGGCAGCTCCTGCATTGAGCGTCTGCCCCTGGGTGGTCAGTGTGCATCACAGTGACTGGTCGTTCCGCCATTCAGTCAATCTG